CCTCTGATGCTGCTTGGCCTGCTGTGTTCATCCAGCTCTACACCTTGTTATCTCTGGTGTTCTGCAGACCTGGGTTTGAATCCTGCCACAGCCGATGGTGGAATTTGGATTCAATTAAAATATCTGGAATTAAGAGTCTAATGATGACCATGAATCCGTTGCCGATTGTCAGAAAAAAACCATCTGGGTCATTAATGTCTTTTAGGGAAGAAAATCTGCCATCCTTACCTGGCCTGGCCTACATGTGACTCCAGACTCACAGCAATGTGGTTGACTCTTAACAGCCCTCTGGGCAATTAGGGATGGGCAATAAATGCTGGTCAAGCCAGAAGTGCACACATCCCATGAATGAATTAAAATAAAAACTGTGTTTGGTTCAGGGGAACTCTGCTTGGGTTAGAGGGCAGGCAACTGTGTTTGGGTCAGGGCTCAGGGCAAACTGTGCTCGGGTCAATGGTTGGGGCAGTTCTGCTTAGGTCAGGCTTTGAGAACCTGGGTCAGCAGCAGTGTTAGGCTCACTGATTTCTGCCCCTGGGTCCAATGACAATCAGAATCATACACAGAATTGGAAGCGAGGTCTAAACAAGACTGTTTACAGTTCCAGCATAACTTCCTTACTTTTCAATTCGAGTGCCTGTATTGCTTTTTTGCAGTCTTGCCAACTTGTGGCACTTTGTTTAGTGACTTGTGAATCTGTAATGTATGCAATAGTTTAGCATGAAGATAAAAGAATTACATCCAAAAGAAACATATTGAGCGACTGAACCAATAGAAAGCAGACCTAATTAATTTCCCCACTGAGTATACTTAAAGTTTTGCCACGTGCTCTTATGAATATGAATTATGAGGCATTCATTGGGAAGAGATTTGCATTAGAAAAGATGTGACATACAAAATGTGATCCATGAGCTATAATTACACTGTCTGCACTTACTACAGATTTTGGAAAAAATAGCTCCAAGAAACAAATGACCTGCATTCATAGAGTGGCTTTCACAACCTCAGGATGTCCCACGGTGCTTTACAGCTAATGAAGTACTTTTGAGATGCAGTCATTATCGTAATGTAGCTAAAGCAGCAGCCAATTTAATGTAGTAATGACCAGATAATCTGTTTTTGTGAAGTTGGATGAAGGGTAAATATTGGCCAGCACACAAAGGGCTAGTTTATTGTTCCACTATCCTGATTATATAATTTATTTTGTTGAGGGACAGGAGAGAGATTTAAAACAGACATGAGAGGCAAACTTCTTACACAGTGGATGGTTCACACGTGGAATGAATTTACTGAGGAAGCGGTGGACATGGATGGAATTACAACATTTAAAAGATATTTGCATAAGTGCATGAATAGGAAAGGGTTGCAGGGATCTGGGCCAGCAGGAGGCAAGTGGCACTAGTTTAGTTTGGGATTATGTTCAGCACAGACTGGTTGGATCGAGGGTCTGTTTCCATGAGTATGAGCCTATGACTCTATAACTCTATGACAGTCTTTACAGTGGCTTTACAAAATTTTGCTAGAAGAAATATGTTGATCTAGAGACCTGAAGTGCTGACGGCTTTAGCACCACTTCTGGAGGATTTTCATTGATTTAATAGTGGAATTTGGAGAATGTTTCATGGACGGTTGAAATAGAAGTCCATCCTACTATATATCCCAGTGGTTATAGTTCATAAAATCCCTACAGTGTGGAAAAGCTTGATTAAAACACCACTCAGCCTTCCTCTTTCAAATGCAAAGAGCCTTACTCTTGTCAGTCCTTTCCTGAAATGTACACTCAGCATTGCTGATATTATCCCTATAAAGCTTCTCTACACAGACTACCATATCCTCACCCAGGACAGAGATTTTGTCAGGGACAATTAACAGGGGCCCAGGCCATTCAGCCCATCAAGTCCACACTGACCCTCTGAAGAGCAGCCCACCCAGATCCAGCCAATCCCTGTAAGCCTGCATTTCCCATAGCTGATTCATCTATCTTTGGTCTGTGGGAGGAAACCCAAGCACCTGCAGGAAACCCACACAGACACAGGGAAGATGTGCCAATTCCACACAGTTGCCCAAAGGTGGAATAGAACCCGGGTGCCTGGCACTCTGAGGCAGCAGTACCAGCCACTGAACCACCAAGCTGCCTCTCAAAGCTGTTGAAGAGTTGGTAATCTCTCCTAACTAGACTAATCACACATGCAACTATCTGAACTCAGCATATAAAATAATATTGGACTGGCTCACTTACTGATATGACTTTTTCTCTACTGTGTCCGGGTTTGACAACGTGCCTAGATGTAGAAATAGCAATGTTAGCTTTACAGCTCCAGCATGGCACATACAAAAATGAGACAGAGCAGCTGTTGAGCCCATTATATTGATTTGTACAGCCAGAATAAATTTCAGTGCAGCTGGTCCATGCCAATGCAAGAGTCTTGTCCAAAATGTTTCTTCTGAAATCTTTCCTTGGTCATTCTATAACATAAACATAGAATTCCTAATGTGTGGCAGCAGGCCATTTGACCCATCAAGTCCACACCAACCCTCCAAAGAGCATCCTACTCCCTTCTCCAATCACTGTAAGCTTGCATTTCCCATGATTAATCCACCTAACCAGCACATCATGAGCAATTATAGCATGGCCAATCCACCTAGCCTGCACTTCTTTGGTCTCTGGGGGGAAACCAGATCTCCCAGAGGGAACCTGCAGGGAACCTACACAGATAGTCACCTGAAGGTAGAATTGAACCTGGATCCCAGGCGTCTTGAGGCAGCAGTGTCGACCACTGAGTCACCATGCCACCCCAATAATGGGTGCATCATCGGAAATTATATTGGTTTATTATGTCATTGATTGTTAGAGAAACGTTACAACATCATTGCTCCTCACTTTTACTTCCATGATGTTTGTTTTATCCTGAACTTTAGCCTCTCTCTTTTGCCACAACGGAGATGCTTTTTCAAAGTGTTGTGATCCAAACTGGCTATCACCTGGGGTAATATGTCCCTCTCTCAATTCAAGAGTAGTTGTGAGGGAAGGTCTTTCATTAATATGTTGCTTTATCAGCAGGAAAGCACAGCATTACTTTTCACATGTACACTGACAATGCCCAGCTTCACTCCATCATCAACTCTCCCACTGTTGCTAAATTAATGGACTGCTTACTGGCATCTAGTATTGCACAACCTGAAATTTCATCCAATTCAATATTGGGAAGGTGTTCTAAATGTACCTCCATCTCTCTCCACCTCATTGATTTGTCTACCTTTCCTTTTAATACGTCTTCTCAGTGGATGGCTCTTGAAAGGAGTGAAAATTAGTACACAAGCTTACAACATATTTTAATGCAATTCACTTATTCTCTGTTCTCTGCGGAGACATCAACCCACTAATTTTAAACAGACTGTATGAATGCATTAAGTGCATAGATGCTAATCTTTATGCAACTTAATTTCAAGATTATAAATTCCAAACGATATTACCGAAAAGTGGCAGCAGGTAAAAATAAGGAACATTTTATATGAAACATTTCTCGGGTCCTGGAGATTCTAAAGTGTTTTACGGTCAATAAAGTATATTTTGTAATATTGAAAATGCAGGAATCAATTTACAACATCCCATTAATGGCAGGAAGATGCCAGTAGGGATTCTATAAGCCAATTGAGGGATGGCTATTAGCCTGATTTGTTGGAAGAATTCACCTTGTGTCCTTCAAAATAATATCATAATTTTTTTGAACATTCATTCACAGGATGAGGAAATCACTGGCTAAGCCAACATTTCTTGCCTATCCCTAAGAGCCAACCACGTTGCTGTGGGTCTGGAGTCACATGGAGGCCAGACCAGGTAAGGACGGCAGTTTCCTTCCCTGAAGAATACTAGTGAATCAGATGGGCTTTTCCCCAACAGTTGACAATGGATTCATGGTCAGCATTAGACTCTCATTTCCAGATTTTAATTGGATTCAAATTCCACCATCTGCCATGGGAGGATTTGAACCTGGATCTCCGGATTAACAGTCCAGTGATACTGCCACTAAGCCATCAACTCCTTTATCCAGTGACCCAAGGGGGCAGACAAAACTTTGATTAATATTAATGTCCAAATGAGGACAATTGTGACAATGTAACACACCCTTAGTGTCAATGCTGCATTACAACTCATTTAGAGAATCCACATTGCTATGACAACTTTCACTTCTACTTGCTGCTGTTTTGTGGAGCCATGGATAGTGGTGGTCAAGGTTCCAATGTCCTTTTCATCACATGGCTAACCAGGAATTTCTCCCACTCTTACTTCCTGCCGTTGCATGAGTTGGAAGGGTTGGCAGGTTGACACACATTAAGTCTTTGCACATTGTAAACACACTTTAATTATTTGTTGGGTCCTGGAGTGGGACTTGAACCAAGAATGTCTGCCTCAGAGGCAAGGCAATTTCTCCTGCACCAGCAGAGCTGCTGATCCATTGTGAATTATACATCTCTGTACTGGCACTTGAACCTACACTCAACTGAATCAGAGGCAAAAGTGATATCTACCGAGTCAAGACTGAAACCATGGTTATACATAACGATTTAGTATAGATAGCAGATAGCTCTATCAACTACATCACTGGTACCTCGGTCTCACGGAGCTGCTACGATCACCACATCGAAACGTCCTGCAGAGTTTCAAATGCAGCTGGCATCAGCTGTAAGTTAGAGTTAACCGGACGTGACGCTTGTCGTTGTTCTCTCTTAGCCACACAATGAGCAAGTGTAGCCACTGTCTGCTAATAGACTGTGTATCCATTACACTGGGATCATTGTGTGTGCACTCATTCCTATTAACACAGTATGCGGAGGGGAACTTGTTCAATGTAATGATTTATTTGACAAGGAATGCACTTTTACAACGTAATCAGTTCCAACCGAATCCAAGACCAAGTGTTTTCAGAAATCAACATGGTCAGGGACTAAATGATTCCTCGATAAAGGACTTTGTTTACATGGCAGAACCTTTAACTAGGTTGGCCCCACTCTGTTTTTACACACTTTCTCCTTCCTCTCCATTCTCAAGTGTTTTCTGGGACACTTTCAGTCATCCTGTAATATCTCCCAACCTGGCCAACTCTGTTTTCACTTTTGCCTATTTGTGAAACTCTTTGTGATTTTTGTTATGCTTTTAAAGGTTCTTGATAAATTTGCCATACTTTTCTTGCAGGGAACAAATGGACTCAAAGTAAATGAGAGCCAATAATTATTTATTGAAAATATTTCCTGGGTCATCCTGTAACATAAACACAATGATTGTACAATCAGAAATAATATCTGTTTATTAACTGCCACAGCAACATTAGAACATCATTGCTTCCAATCTTCAACTTGGACTGTGCTTTGTCACTTTCATGATGTTAGCTTACCTTGAACTTTAGCCTCTCACTGCTGCCACAATGGAGATACTTTTTCAAAGTGTTGTGATCCCAAGCTGGCTATCACCTGAGGTGAATTTTCCCCTCTCTCAATTCACGAGTCGTTGTGAGGGAAGGTCTTTCATTAATATGTCTCTTTATAAGTCGGAAAGCACAGCATTACTTTTCACATGTACGCTTACAAATGCCCAACTTCACTCCACCATCGCCTCTTCCACTGTGGCTAAATTAGCGGACTGCCTATCCAGTATTGAAATGCCATCCAATTCAATATTAGGACGGCAGAAGCGATGGGACTGACATTTCCCATATTTTAGCTGAGGGTCAGTTTCAGGGGAGTTCAATGGCGAGTTTCCCAACGCTGGTGACATTTCTAGTGCTGTTCTGTGCTGTTCACCTCATTCGTCACACATCCGGCATCCGTAGCTCTTATCTCGAGCCAGCATGCGGTCAGCAGAGGAGGAAGTGCTCACTGGAATCAGGACTTCCTGGCATTCGCACAGCAAGTGGCATACTTAAACCACTTTGAACAATTAATTGTGTCCCTGTGCAAGTCAAAATGATCTGGCTGAGGGAGGCGAGTTGATACTTTGCTTTGCTGACAAGGACTTGGAGGGCCTTGGGAATGAGGAGGGTGTTTCTCTTTACCCGAGAGCGCCAGAGGAGAGCATGGGCACCGATACTAAAAGTCTGGTGTGAGGCAATGACCTGGTATCCACAGTCCAGAGGAATGTGTAACGGGATCAAGGGTTATGGGGAGAAGGCAGGAGAATGGGGTTGAGAAACATATCAGCCATGATTGAATGGCCCAGCAGACTTGATGAGCTGAATGGTCTAATTATCATAGAATAGAATCCCTACAGTGTGGAAACCGGCCCTTTGGCCCAACAAGTCCACACCGAACCTCAGACCATTCCACACAGAGCCATTCCCCTGTAACCGACCTAATCTACACATCCCTGAACACTACAGGCAATTTACCTAACCTGCACATCTTTGGACTGTGGGAGGAAACTGGAGCACCCTCAGGAAGCCACGCAGACACAGGGAGAATGTGCAAACTCCAAACAGACAGTCGCCTAAGGGTGGAATCGAACCCAGGTCCCTGGTACTGTGAGGCAGCAGTGCTAACCACTGAGCCGCTGTGCCACCCCTATGCTACTCTATCTTACGGTAAATGCAGGAAGGATGCTGTGCCAGGATAAGTGCCACCACCTCTCTCTCTGCTACTTCACACTCACTCTATCTCTTCTATTGTACACAGCACTCACCAAGGCTGGTAGTCTACCACTCTCACAATTATTTGCAGCATCTTCCCTCAGTGGTTCTCATGTTGTCCTCCAATTGACCCCCAAACTACCAACTCTATGCAACTTCATGCACGATAGCTGCCTAAATCTCCTGCTCCTTCTCAAACTCTAACAACTCCTCCAGGCACTTCCGTCTCAGGCAATCCTTCCCTTTGCCTCACTGCTGGACAAAAGGGCTCATAATTCGGCTAAAAGCTGAGACAGGCGTTGGTGTGACTGACATCTGTCTCCTCCCCCTGCAAGGAGAAAATCCTCCTTCCTTCATATAGCAAGAGACGAGCCCCTCCAGACGTCAGTTCCTTCTTCCACCTCTGAGGAAGAGGCTGTAGATCCCTCAGAAAAATATATTTGCGAGGCGTTTTTTAATTTATGTTCATTCACAAGCTGGCCTAGCATTTATTGTCTATCCCAGAGGGCAGTTAAGAGTCAACCACATTGCTGTGGGCCTGGAGTCACATGTCATAGAACCTCACAATTTGGGGTAGGCCATTTGGCCCATCAAGTCCACACTGATTCTCTGAAGAGCATCCCACCCAGACCCTATCCCTGTAACCTTGCATTTCCCAAAGTCAGTCTACCTAGCTTGCCCATCTTGGCCTGTGGAGGAAACACACACAGACACAGGGAGAATGTGCAAACTGCACACAGACAGTCGCCCAAAACTGGAATCAAACTCGGGTCCCTGGCGCTGTGAGGTAGCAGTGCTAACCACTGAGCCACCGTGTCACCCACCTTGTCCAGACCAGGTAAGTACAGCAATTTCCTTCCCTAAAGAATATTAGTGAACCAAATGTGTTTTGCTGACCAATGATAATGGGTTCATGTCACCATTAGACTGTTAATTCCAGATTTTTAATGAATTCAATTTTCACTATCTGCTGCAGCAGGATTTGAACCCAAAACCTGAATGATTACTTGGGTCTCTGGATTAACAGGCCAGTGATAATACTACCAGGCCATCGCATCCCAAGCCATTCCCCCACACCATTCAGCAGCTCAGGTACTTGGTGAGTACTTTAACTGAGCAGCGACAGCACATTTTGGTGGTCACTGAAACCTCTCCACATCTGGCCAAGGAAGATGTGCCCTGGTCACTGGCGTTCAGAGCATTTCTGGAGACTGGGCATGTACTCAAACCCCAGCCAGGAGAGGGTCCCATGGGTGTTGGCCGTTATTAACTTTGTGAACTTACAGAAACAGACACAGAGGCAGCAGGTGGATTTGTGAGAAACTAGACTGAAGTGATCGATAAGTGACATCAATACCATCCTGGCTCTGGCATGTGTGTGTCTGACTATCTGTGTGGACAAATGGTGGCTGCCATAGAGACCCCAATCCATCAGAACCCTCAGCGTCTGCTGTGTATGGTCCCAGAGCTGCACTCCATCGTTCAATAGCTACAGCAAGGTGAGAGGGTGATCAGGACTTTGACCTCACTTCAGTTGCCCCCTCCTCTCAAGGAGGTGCCAGCCGTCACCCAAGTGAAAGAGGAACCACATAAAGACCATCACCAGACATCTCCTTACAGCCCAATGCAGAGATGCCCAACCCTTCCTTCTCCACCCTACCATAAGACCATAAGACATAGGAGCAAAAATTAGGCCATTCGGCCCATCATGTCTGCTCCACCATTCAATCATGGTTGATAAGTTTCCGAACTCCATTCTTCTGCTTTCTCCCCATAACCCTTGATCCACGGACAATCAAGAAACTATTTATCTCCGCCTTAAATATTCTCAATGACCTAGCCTCCACAGCCTTCTGTGGCAGTCAATTCCATAGATTCACCACCCTCTGGCTGAAGAAGTTTCTCCTCATCTCCATTCTAAATGGTCTTTTCTTTACTCTAAGCCTGTGCCCTCAGGTTCTAGTCTCTCTTACCAATGGAAGCACGTTCCCAACATCCCTACATGTGATATCCAACCCAGTAGAAGCTGTGGCTGTGGATGGTGAACTTAAATCTGGGCAGGATACTCACTCTCAGCATATCTGTGTACTCTAACCACAAATGTTCTCAGAGTCTTCCACCCAACCTTCAAGACCAACAAGCTCTGCTAAAGGGCAGGCTCCCTCCGCCCCATCTGCAGGTCCCATGAGTGCTCCTGGACGTAGTGGGAGGGCAAGGAGAAAGAAAATCTGCTGTGAGCACAGATGACTTGTCATTGGAAATGGAATATCGCCTTTGGAAATATATCAGCTCTTTAAAGCAACTCTTATGCAATTGCAATGACTGTAATTTTAGCTGCAGCTATAAGAGTAAAACTACAGAGGGTGCCCTTCTGTAGCCCCACACAACAATAGAATCCTGTCTGAAGGAGTTCTACTCTTTCCTTAGTGTCCATCGTGGCACACATTATCATTATCGTTGGATGTCAGAGCATTTGATGTCTGTAAAGCCTTCAAACAGTTGTAAATGTTCACACTTATCAAAAATTGGGAAAAAAGGAGCAAAGGTAGAACAACAACTAAAGCTCTCTCTCCTTTTGGGACACTACATGGTAACCTTGATTTTGGAGCAGCAGTGAATTTACAGTCAGCGAATGAGATCTTCAATTAACTTTGATCTGTTGGAGGAGGCTGTCAATTATCATGCAGAGGGTGGTGTGTGTATGGAATGAGCTGTCAGAGGAAGTGGTAAAGACTGGTACACTTACAGCATTTCCAAGGCATCTGGATAGGTGCATGAATAGGAAGGGTTTAGAGGGATATGGGCCAAATGCTGGGAAATGGGACAAGATTAATTTAGGACATCTGGTTGGCATGGACGTGTTGGACAGAAGTGTTTGTTACCATGTTGTACAACTCTGTGACTCTATGGCAGTTCAATACCATGGTGAAGGTAATGTTCCTCCTAATCAATGTCCTCATCTTCCTTGGAGGAGGAGGACTGCTGCCATGATCCAGATCTTCAGTCTGCATCACATCCCCGCCTTTGCCTGCTCTAATTGTGCACAGTACAACATGCAAGGATCATGAGACATACTCTGTCGAGACTGTACATGAAGGACATCCATGCTGATCCAAGTATTGGAACTTCACCTTTGGGAAGGCTAACGTCTGCTCCATGACAGTTTTTATTGAAGAATGTGCTGCATTGCGGCTTGTGTACCGGAGTCATCAAGTACAGTTGATTGCCTTGCATAAATAAGAACAGAAAGAACTGCAGATGCTGTAAACCTGAAACAACAACAGAAATTGCTGGAAAAGCTCAGCAGTTCTGGCAGCATCTGTGGAGGGAAATCAGAGTTTATGTTTCAGGTTGACTGACCCTTCTCCAGAATGGATTGGCATTTAGTCCTTGAAAAGAAGCAGAAACCTTATCGTTATCAAGAATATAAGCATCATAGCAACTCCAAAATTACCCAGCGCAAATTGGTAAGATGTGGGACCGATGATCACAGATGGTTTGGACACTGATGGAATAGAACCATTTTCTATTGATGAAGTCAGCCCTGTTGTTATATAGTGCACTCAACCCAATAGGTGCCTGTAGCACCCTTAACCTAAGGGAGTGCCCACTATATTGGTAAAGTCTACCTGCCTGGACTGCAACACTGACCTTGTCATGGGGAAACAGGATGTAGTGGTGTGATCTGGCACAGATTGTCCTGGTGGAACAGGCTTGAGGGGCCAAATGATCTCCTCTTGCTTCTCACACATATGTTCACTCCACATAGAGAGCAGGTCCCTGTGGATGGTATTTTCAGACTGGAAAACAGACATCTGATATTCAGCCTCCTTTCTCCTAGCCTTGGTCTGATTGTGCTGTGTATTTATACTTATAATTTGATCATGTGCTGTGTTTGACATCAGGGATAATCTTCAATTATTGATTGCTTTGAAGACGACAATTGATTGCGGCCTATTTGAAACAGTTGCCTTGCTGAGATCTGGCCATCAGGTGCTCTTCAATCAGTTGGGGCTGTATTTGAAATTGACAACCAGTGCCCAGAATTCCTTGACATGTGTGCGTACTTCGAGAGGTCCAGATGGAATAGGAACTTAACGTTGATTCTTTGGAAGGAATCCATAATCCTTGGTGTGCCCTCTACTTGAAC